GGTGCCAGTCTCATCCTCTTGTTCCTCCCACGCGGTTCTGGTGAGCTAAGAAAATGTTTATATCCCTGAGCTTGGCCTTCATAATTCCATTCCATCATAATTGGTCAGAAGAGAATTGAGGGAGTTGGAAGGGGCTCCATTTTCTGATACCCAACAAAAGACTAGAGCTCTGGAACATTCTGAGCAGTAATTGTGCTGACGTAGAATTCATATGTGTGAATCACAAAAATTGAAAGCTCCTCAATACAGTGCACTCTACACTCCCTGTATGCTATCGGGCTGTTAAACCAACTATCTACTATGGCAGGACAAACCCTATGCATTTTGGACTCAGTGTATGACATCTCACTACAATCAATCCATATCAAGTACATTAGAATAATGGATCTCAAAATCATTTGCGCTCAACAGCAGTCCATAGTTCCATCACAACATCACTTTTATTTATGTTTGTTACATTTTAGGTACTGTGGGAATTAATTACATAGAAATACTGACAATAGTAAGATATAGCTAGGTATAGAAATACTGATAATAAAATAAACTGAAAACAAATAATATTTAGTCATCATTAATACTGGTGAAATTAATTATGGTTCTGTGGATTACTACTACAGCTCTTGCAGCTTAAATGAAATACTTTGACTTTCAATTTCATCACTACAATTTCTGTGTAAAAGACTAATTTTCAGAACTTGCACCTCCATACAATAATTTTGGAACATTATATTAACTTTCCTATTGATTTAATACTCAGTATTTAATATTTAATGACCTACAGTGAAATCAGATGTTCTATTCTCTGCATATCTCTCAACATTATCAGAATGCTGGAATTAAAGAAGATTCTTTAAAATAACATATTACTCACTTTGGCAAAGAATTTGATTTCTTGATCATGTGGAGATTTCTCAGTTTTTCCACTGGTAACAATGGATTCTGTGAAGAAACAATGTAAAGGTAAATAAGACTGGACAGGATTATTACCTCAGTATTCAAAGCTTGGAAATTCCAGAAGCAGCAACATCTTGTTCTGCAGGAAGGATAAACATATGGTTCTATTTATCTATCATCTCCATCTTGAGTGTAGTAAATGCTAAGGCTACTTGCAATCTTATGCAAACTTGAATCAGTGTAAGAAAGTTCTATTCATATTCTCCAGCTCATTGTTCTGAAAAGAAATTTGCCATTATAGAGGACATTACTATATCTTTTTGACATACCTTTCTTCTGTATTCTGTTAAATTTATTTTCAGCTTCAGTGAGAAAAGGGGGAAGAACCAGCTGAAGATTGTAGAGCTGTTTTGGATTTTTCAAGAGTTGAAAATAAGTGCAAATCAAACTAAGAAAATTATGTGTGGAATAAGTTTTTTTTTAATTGCTGTTTTCCCCCATGAAAACTTTATTTCATCTAGTAAACAAAAATATTTAAGACATCCAGTGTTGTATTGAGTCTAATGTGTTGGATAATGACCACAGAGACCTAGTTCAAACCCATCCAAAGCTAAGGTGACTTACTAGGTGACTTTGGGCTGGTCACTATCTCTCAGCTCAAGTTTCCCTACAGGGATTTATTGTGGGGGAAAAAAATAGGAGAAAAGAGGATATTGCCTTGAGTTCCTGGAGGAAAATTGTGATATAAATATAACAAACAAACAAAGCAAACACCCTCAATTATGGAAGGTCAATTATAGAAATTCATTTTGATCAGTCACTCTCTTTCTCTCTCTCTCTTTCATTTCCACAAAGTGGTTGCTGAGAGAATAAAATGAAGAAATATCCCCCATTGAAGCTGCCTTGAGCTCCTGGAGAAAAAGCAGCATATAAATCTAACAAATAAATAATAAATACTTATACCGATATTATGTAATTATCTTTTTAACTGTACGGCATACAGTTGAAGGAGCTGAAGGAGCAAGCAAGATGAAGTATTATACAATATAACATGGAGCCAGGTTCTTCACGAGATTTATGCTCCTATTTGGTACAATGTACCATTCCTATTAAGGTGAAAGCTTCATGTGGCCAGGAATAATAGTCCCATTTCCTCTTTGAAGAAGAAATACTGGGACATAATTTTTCAAAGACCATGTTCATAGCAAGTTTGTCATCTTGTCTCTTGATCACAGAAATGTATCCTGAGGCGGCGAGAACTAGGGGAAGAGGACGTAGAGTTGGTTTCAATTCTGAATGTAGAAACTGGCCAGACCTTCACCTCTTCTACACCTTCTGTTTGTAAGAGGATCTAAGCCCTCTTTAACTCACATTTCTTCATGAGGAAATGAATAAGGAATATTGAATAGTACAACATCAGTCATGAATGTAATGCTAGTAAAAATACTTAATGTAAGCAATAGTGCAACAATAGCTGTCTTTTTCATTACTAGCTTTTAAAATCATTAAGGAAACTTACCTAAATGTGCAATGAATTCTTGAGCTGAGTCAATATATTTAAGGATCTTTTTGAGAAATTTATAAGCAAACCTCTTTTCCATTGATGAAGCATCCAATTCCATATCATTTAAGCCTCTAGTGAAACAAAAATTTAACCTATAGTTTTAAAAAAATCTAGCAAGCAGCACCAAAAGGTTTGAAATATCATGCTTATAACAACTTAAGTTTTTATCACTTTAAGCCAAACTAGTTTATTAAAAACTATGTTAAAAGTTCAAATGATCTAATATAGCATTTATTTATCATTCACCTCCTTAAATCAGATGTTACAAGATTGTTTGGAGCATATATTTTACTGGCCAACCAGAGTAAGATTGGTATTAATGTATTTTTTCATTAAAATTTGATTCTGATTGTCAAAGACAGCAAAAATAACCATAGTGGAACTAAAATGCATGTATTTTACAATTACAGATTAAGATTTCCAATACAATCTCATTAACAGGCTGAGGGTAATGTGAAAATAATATTCCAGTTTGTATCTTTTTTAAGAATATACCTCTATTCTCTTTATATCATGGTCAAAAAATTATCAAGACTGTCCATATCTTGCATGGTTACAAAGGCTATGCACTTGCTCAAATGAGTCGTAGGTAGATGCTATGTTCACACTCCCCTGCATTCTGAATCACTTTTTCCAAATTATTTCTGAAATGCTGCACTGACCCAGTGACTATACCATGCAGTTCCATCAGATGCTAGGAGAAGTAATAAAGACTGTTTCCTAATTTCACCAATCAACCAACCTGATTGCCCTTCATGCCCTCCAACCCAACCAAACAATGATTGTCTTTGATGCCCCTCCCATCTGTCATTTGAGCACTCTTCAGTCCTGGGATTGTGGCCCCTCCTAATAGAAAGGAAATACCTCATTGAATTAACTCCATGAAAAACAGACATGAAACAGCAAGACTGTGTTCAGCTACAGAGGAACTTGGAAAAGAGGGGAAAACAATTTTCTCAGAGCCTTTGAAAACGACTTCTATTGGTGCCTGATGTCAAAAGATGTCTACCCTCCATGAGTAAAAAGCAGTTAGAAACATTTGGACCTTGACTGATGCCACAAATGGGGCATGTTTCTATGGAAAACCTGGATTTGCAGTATGGGGAAAAAATAAAGAAAAACTGTATCTAACTATACATAGGGTAGAGTTAATCTCAACTGGAAGGCCATACATTTTGTGAAAATGGACTATTTACTTTGCGCTGTATCTTGTGAATGTGAGTTTTGGTGGAAAATCAAAGATAGTCCTACTACAATATTTCAAGTAGAATTTCTATCAGAGCTGACCCTTCATTAGGCGTAATTAGGAGCTTGCCTCAAAGCAGCAGATTTTAGAAGTAATGACAGGACAGTGTACTGTTACTTCATTTGTTAGTAATATATTTTTACTCAGCCTCATATGTCAAAATAGATTGTTGGATACTGTGCATTCTGACTTGGGTGAGATAGGCCATTTGCTACTCTGCTTCAAAAAACAAAATTTCTTTGACTAGCTCTGCCTACTGTATAAAGAGAAATATGAGACAACCTCTACCAAACATTTCTTTTAAAGACTCATAGTCTCTACTTTTAATTTTGGCAATTAACATCCATTTCCAGATTTGCAAGTGACATTTACAACTTTTTCACCGATTTGTTTTATTGTCCAATATTATTTAATAGTAGTATTAGGGAAGTGAGTTTCCAGAGCTATCAGCATATTCTGAAGGGAGGAACATCTCTAAAACCATAACATTTGCTTCTAGGATAATACCAGTATAATATTTGTGTGGCTAGCATCTTGCTGTTCCATTTATTTTTATTTAAAAGTGACCAGTAATGATAATCTCTTCTATCAATTTCCTGTGGAGTCCCTTAGGATGGGGTGGGGTAACATTTTCTTTTGAAGGTAAGAGGTCCTAAGTAGTGGTGGAAACCTACTGATGCATCCATAAGGGAAAAGAGCCTGTCTCTCTTGCATAGCCTGTCTACCTGTTTATACTATTTATGACACTCTAGATTTTTCTTTAAAAAAAGGAATTAATTAAAAATAAATTGACTTCAGCAAGCCAATGTTTGTAATGGAGAAGTTTAATTTAATATATCTAATTTTTAAAATATTTGTTTTAACAGGATTGAACATATTTTTATACATATAATTTTATTAAAAGTTTTAAAAAGATAAAAACCAATACAAATTAATATAAAGTAAGAAGAGGAAAAGAAAAAGAAATCAGAAAGAAAGCTAAAAGTGCAAGAAAGGAAAAAAAGTAAAAGAAAAATAGAAAGGAAAGAAAAAAGATACAAAGAAGTAGCTTCCGATCTTTACAGCAGTTATAAGTACAATTATAAATTTATCTCTTACTCTAAGGTTACAACATGATTCTTTTCTTTCTATAATCTATCCTGTCCAATAATCAAAACCATAAATCATAAGTTCATTTTTTTATGTTTTACACAAAAAGTCCATAAGGGGTTTCCAGTCAGCAATAAACATAGATAATTGTCTTTTCTCTGATCAAAGAAGTCAATCTGGCCATCTCAACAAGTTCTGTCATCTTTACCAACCATTCCTCCAATGTGGTTAATGCCAAATCTTTCCATAGGATTAAACATATTTGACAAAATAATTTACAATGAACATTGCTATACAGGTTGCCCTCACTTAACTACAGTAATTGGGACTGGAATTTCCATTGCTATGCAACAAGTCATAAAGCATGACATCATGTGACTGTACCACTTAGCAATGGAAATGCTGGCACTTCCGGCTGCCATCATTAAGTGAACCACTGCAGGTTGTTAAGGTGGCAGGAGGTCACAAATGGCAACCACATGATGTTCAGTAAGGACATCATGTGGTTGCCATTTGTGACCTCCTGCCAAATTCTCCATTGACTTTGTTTGTAGGAAGCCAGCAAAGAAAGTTGCAGAATGGCAATCTCATGACCGTGAGACAGTGCAATGTCATAATTGCAAGCTGGGCACCAAATGCCTGAATTGCTGTCACGTGAATGCAGGGCTGCTGTGACTGATGTAAGTATGAGGACTAGTCATAATGACCACTCATTTGGTCTGTCATAAATTTGAATGGTCACTGAATGAGTGGTCATTAAGAGAGGACCACCTGTATGTTGTGCATATAAAACTGCCCCTCATTTCATTAAAGATGCTTGCGATTTTGCTAAAACCACACAGAACAAAATGTTTGTCCAGAAAAGCTTATTTGTATGTGATGCATAACTTACCTAGATATGGCAATGCCATTTACAAGAAGAAATTTGAATAGTTCTTGTGCTTTCTCCCTATCTCGAGCCTTCTCTTTGGCTGTCAAAGTGTCATAAGGTACCAACAAAGGATGACTACCTCCCCCTATAGTAAAATCAGAGCATTAGTAATACTTACTGCAACAGCAAAAATTTCAAAATGTTCACAGACAATTATTATAATGTCTTTGGTATTTTCATATATTCCTATATCAAATGTCAGAACATTCCATTCTTACCTTTATTTTCCAATTCAATTTTCTTCTTTTTAGCCCAAATGTTATGATAGTTTTCGGCAACTACTTCTACCATTCCCTATATCACCAAGAAATCAAGAAAGAATAATTTAAAATCAGAATAAACATGTACTAAGCCACGGATAGTATAATTGCATAGAAATATATATTACAACATTTGCTGTAATGATGTATGTCATTAACATACCGTATTTTTCCGATAATAAGAGGCCCCCATGGATAAGACGACCCCCACTTTTCCAACCCAAAAGTAAGAAATCAATATTTTAAAGATAAAGCAGAACACATTTTTATTTAGTAATTAGGTAACATTTACATGATACACTCAGTGGGAGGAGGTCCAAACTAAGAAATCAATATTTTAAAGATAAAGCAGAACACATTTTTATTTAGTAATTAGGTAACATTTACATGATACACTCAGTGGGAGGAGGTCCAAACTGTCTCTCTGCAGCTCTATTTCCAGGCTCTTTTGCATAAGTGATTACATTCAGTTTGAATTTTGCAGAGTAAGACATTCGCTTATTTATTTTTTTATTTTCCAACATCATTGTGGGCTCAGAATGCTCTGACG